TTACCATCTGCAACAAGTACAGGCACTGTTACCGCGAGACTTTCCGAACCGTCTTGAATTTTGCAATTGGATGCTGGAAATGATTAGAAGAAACTGTGACTTTCTGAAGACGATAGAATTCACAGACGAATGTAGTTTTTCTCGGGACAAGATTATTAATTTTCATAATTACCACATATGGGCTGATGAAAACCCTCACGCTATTGTCGAAACTAACCATCAAGAACAGTTTTCTCTTAACGTGTGGCTCGGAGTTATTGGGGATGATTTAATTGGGCCTCATTTTCTACCTCCTCGATTAAATGGTGAGGCATACGTTCAATTTTTAAGAGAAGTGCATCCAGTACTGCTGGAGGAAGTTCCTTTGGGCGTCAGAAGGGATATGTTTTTCATGTATGATGGGACTCCCGCCCATTTCAGTTAAGTAGCCGTCAGCATTTAACTGAAACATATGCAAATCAGTGGATAGATCGAGGAGGACTACAGAACTGGCCCGGATCTCAGTCCTCTCGATTTCTCTATTTGGGACCATTTACAGCATTTGGTTTATCGTACTCCTGTTCGCGATGTAGAGGACTTGAAAAACCGCATCATCGATGCGTGCAGGGTAATCAGAGAGACTCCAGGAATATTTGAGCGAATACGTGGCTCAATGCGCCGACGTCTAGACGCATGCGTAATGTCTGAAGGTAGAGATATTGAACATTTACTATAATTTCTACATGTTGTGTGTTTTGTAATTATTAAATTAGTTTTGTTTATTACCCTTTAATCGTTTAATGCAGGTACTAACTACAAAATAACAATAAATCCAGTTCGCATTTATGACCATGTATCTCTGTATCTCTTTTTGGTAGTACAAAACGTCCAGGTTGATTTCAATATTGTAACTTAGTGCTTGTAGAAAAAATTGTTATACAAATTTTATGTACCCCCTTGAAGGGGCTGTATCTTAACAAGGGATGCTCCAATGAAGTTTCTTCATATGAGAGATCCTATCTTTTTTTCGATGAGGAATCACCTCCTTTAACGTTTTACACTTATTCAGTTACACCCTGTATACTTTCATCGAAAATATCGTGGACTCATTTCTCATACGTGTGTTTGAATATATATTTCTATCGTAGAGATTGGGTGAATGAAAGGATTCTATGAGTCTTCATTACTATCAGGATAAAAAAATAAATATTTTGGAATGAATTTCGGAACATCGACCTTTCCTAACTACTTACACCTGCTCTGGTAAATGTCTGTCGGAAAACAACTACTTTCCCGGGTAATACTTCGAAACCGGGGTCTGCAGGTGATCACTTGAATAATTTCATAGTCCTGCGGCTGAATGAACAATAAACATATCCTGAACTTCCCTATGTGAGGTATCTTGCATAAATATCTGTCGGATATATTTCAGTATCCAGCATGGTATCAACTGGAGAAGTAGTTGTGTAATTCGGGGTAGTATTTGTGTAGGCTCTGATGAACGGAAAACTTCTTTCTGCCTCAACAGTTGAAATTATTCTTGTTCCACAAAAAAACTTCGCCTCCGACAAATCATCTCTTAATGGTTGCAGTGAAGCTGCCACGAATTTGCAGTCATATTGATTTGAAAAACTTCCTCTTCAATCCATCATCTTTATCTTTGAATGTACCTTGTAACAAATGTTTTGAAAATGAAATGGCAAATAATATCTACTTTATTACTATCAGTGGTAACTCCTTGATGAAATAAATGGCTATCATATTCACTCAAATTATAAGATATTATTAGAACTTAAAATGGTGACATGATGTTCAAATTACAAGTGGTCCACATCTCTTTTCACCAGTTCAATGACAGTGATCTCTAACTTCAGTATCAAGCGTTTTGAAATACTTCTCATATACCACATACATCAGAGTTGAAAAAGTCTTGTTTCTACAAATAAGTCAATGGCTTCATTAGATCGGTTAGATCATTCTCTTATACTTTGGCAGCATTTGTTCCACGATACAAAACATTTAGAAGAACGAGTAAGGCTCACTCACTAATGAATGTTTTATTTTTGAACTCCAATATATTATCGGGACCATGTTACCATATCAATCAGGATTCAATTGCGTATTGGTAGTACTCGCTGAAATTTGATTCCAATTATTCAACTGACGATGGAATAATTCACGCTCATTCGCAAAAGTACGGTACACACCCCTCCCATACAAAAGTATTTTGCATGACCATAACATAAAATCTGAAAAGATACAATTCCGAAACAGTGATATATAATAGATCAAAATGCCGTCCAAGTTTTTGTTGGGCATAATGTGAAGGACCAACAATTTCATGTTTCACTTGAATATTTCCAAAATAATTTTTCGAACAGCTCTTCAAATTCGGCAAGGTCACGTAATTTCAATGAAAAATCTGTATCTGTTAGATCCAAAACAGTTGAAAAATGCGGATATGATGCAACAATAAAATTTCTCGTATATGCGGAATATAATGCTGACGTCACTGCCCAGGAGGAACAATGCTGATCCTCGTTCCTGACATTGACCACAGATTCCTTCAATTCAATGAATTTTGGAGGCTCATATATAACGATCTTCGTAGCGCCGTATACTTGTCAATGTTGACCTCAATGAATATGATATTTTCAAGAGTCTATGAAACATTTTCATGTTTTTCTGAAGATTATATGTGCTCTTGGAATTCCGTAGCTCCTGCAGATAAAACAGCAACGAACTCATCGAACCCCACTTCTGAATCATGAGATAGATCAACAATTGTTTGTTGGTGTTTAAACCTCCCACACCAGATAATTTCTGTATTTCCAAGACATATTGCAAAAACTTCCATGTTGACTTTCAAAGTTTTTTAGATCTGTACCATTATTTCAATCGGATCAACGATCTTCTGCTTCAGCTCATTGAATATTATGGCAGTGTCCATATGATGATTTTCACTCACAACTCAATATCAGGCATTCCTGTATTTGAATGCGCTATTTATAAGTTTGACGAAATCGAAAAAGTCAGTGTATGTATTCGTTGTATGCTCCATTGTTTTGAGGTGAGAATTCATACGATTCACAGGTATCATTTTATCACACCAGTTACACAACAACACACTCGAAGCTGGAGGCACAAGTTCTTATTTGCGCAAAAAAACTGTTTTTGATGACGACGTATCTTATTTTCCCGAGTGAAACTTCTATCACATACATATATACATTGTATTTCTGCTGATATTCAGATTGAAAATTCGAATCGGAAATTCTAGCTGGTGGTTTTTCTCTTTCTTCTCTTATATAAGGTCAGTATAGTGGGGGTATAGATGAGACAAACACATGAGGGTGATAGTCAAGATTGAGTCAGTTGTTCGACTTCGAATGATCTCGATGACAACCAAGGTCAAATGAACAGTTTGGAATTGAATGGCTTTCAACATCACATGACTCATCAATCCCGCAGTTTGACGTAGTTTGAGGCCATTCAAGGTCAAACCTTAAAGTCATCTGTGAGTTACACAGTCAAGGTCATGCGACGTGCTCCAAGGTAATCATGCCGGCAAGTAGAGGGGGCGGGGATAAGGGCTGTTATAAATTGACTACTGCCTTTGCTGAAAATTTAATGCTTTCGATATCATATCTTCAGACTTGGTAACTAATGCAACGTCACAGATTTCCAAAGAGGCAGATATTTTGAACGATTGCTGTAGATGGGAATTATCTAATTTTCTATTCGTATTTGTGAAATAGAATTCTATTTTTCACAGGTAAAGTTGCAGTTTGCAATTCTGATGAAATATAATTTTTTTCATGTTGTTTTTCATTCAGTAAAATAATATTACGATTTTATGACATTAGTGATAATTTCCAATATTTTGGGTACAATGGACTGAATAAAAATGAACTTCAAGTTTGGTTTCTATTTAGTGATGATAAATCAAGTACTTACCTATATATTAAGTTACAGGTACAATCAACATAGTCGTTTTATCGAAGTGAAACGTCGAAAAAGAGTTATGAGTGGTACAAAGTTGAACGTAGGATTGAAAAATACAACATAGTATATTAAAAAAGTACCGGTCCATACATGAAAAAAAAGATGAGGGTGGCCCTAAGTGAATGAATCGTCGTATGAACAATTACTTGAGTGCATATTGTAACCTTCATAAATTTCAATCAATATCCATTGAATTTCTTTCATATTTTGTGTAACAAAGATATCAGTGCAGAAAAACCAAAATTGACGATTTCCTTTTTTCGATTATTTCGAGAATGGATCACCATAGTCTGGATTTCTTAACATGATTCCATCTTTTTCTGAGAAGTACATTTTTGTCTAATTCAATCAGAATTATATCCTCTACCGTTACCGAGATAGCAATAGTGTGTAATTAAATTTTTACCACCCGGTATATACTCGTAGTAATGGAAAACTTCATTCAGGTATAAAACGTGCAAACCTAGTTCATCTCGATAAGTTACTGTGTTGAATAGAGAAAAATGTTCTACCCATCAGTAAATTGTCGTATTTATTAATTTCGCCTAATTAAAAAAAATTAAATTATAAAGATACTTATTTTCATGATTTGGTGTGTGAAATTTGCCCCCGTCTTCAGAATTGGAAAAATTCTGACAAATCTGGCAGTTTTCTCTTAGGTTCACTATAGTTTCAAAACATCCTCCATAGATCTACGCAGGTAGATTTTAGCCTCCAAAACCTTAAGATAGGTATACATATAATTTCTGAGGTCTCCGTCGATAGGTATGTATTAGTATGTATTGAATACGACAAGTAACTGATTTTTCTTTGTGAAGAATATTTTGAATTTACGTAGTAATTTATTGGAATGAACTGAACAGTTTGCTGTTATAAAGTTCTCCATTACAATTTTTATATTTCTCAAATTGAATAAGATGAAAAAACCCAAAAATATCAATAAAAGACTATATATCCTCATATCCTCGAGAAAAAAATTCATTCAATATTTAAGATATGGTATTTCAATAACTTACCAACAGCATCTGCAATAGTCGAAGTCTCCTTGCAAGTCAAAAACAAGGAATAAAAGTTGATCATAATAACTCCTTTGTTCAGTGCCAACTTCCTTAGTGTATCATCTGGAACGTTTCTCGTCGAGTTGCACAGAGCATGGGCCGAAGAATGACTGAAGATGACTGGAGCCTTAGAAACTTCGAGTGCATCCTTCATGGTATTGACCGAAACGTGCGACAAGTCAACGATCATACCGATACGATTCATTTCTTTAATGACGCTCTGGAAAAGTTTAACTAATCAAATGCTGTTCCCATATTTTTTGAAAAATCATATCAAACATGAAATCTTCTCAGATATACAGACATTCTTGACAGTACTTTGTTGGAAACAAATGATTTTGAGTTACACCTTGCGGTAACGTATTATTAGAAGACAGTGTGGTTTCAGAGTTGTTGAAGACTATCTGTTGGTTCAATGAAGAAAGTGATGCATAGTCTTGGACCCTTCAAAACTTCTGTGAGATTGTGGGAATGAGAACATGGATACCTTTAGAAAGAACAACCAGCGAGGTGAAATTTGGCCGATGGCATGGGTTAAGTTGGCTTTAAGGACCGCTGCCGCTGTGGTTTGTGGCTTATTCGCATACACCTGCGACTTAAAAAACCCCCGACAAAAAGTAGCCAGTTCACATCACCTCCACGTGAGATGACCATGCCCTCTAATCGCTCGTGCAGAATATCCAATGTGGCATGTAGCGCCATCCCGTTGCAAACCTATATCATTATTGGTGTCCAGATTATCGAGTTCTGACCTAAATAAGTTGGTAATCCTCGACCGATGATGCCACCAGCCCAAAATCCATACCGAACAGTGACTTTTTCTAGATGCTCTTGGGATTCATATGGGTTGGTATCGTCCCAAATTTGACAATTTTGTTTGTTCACCTAACCATTCATCCAGAAACCGCTGAAGATGAGTTTTTGATGAAAATATAAGTCAGTTGCCTACCGCTTCAGAGCCCATTCACCGAACACACGTCGTTGTCTATGGTTGTTCACTTTCAGTTCCTAGGTACGTTGAATTTTGTAAGGTACAGGCCCGAGTTAAGATGTTAAATTATGGTTTACGAAAGGCCGATTTGTTGTAGGCGACGGAGAAATGAGAAAAACTTGGTAACACTGAATACGAATTTCTGGAGATGCAATAATTTTTTTGTGATAACAGGCCAATCAATATCTGTATTTTTTGGGCAATATATGATGTCGAAGTCCTGTATTCATTGAATTGATATTTTCAAACTAATACAATATACTAATGTTTTTATTTGAATGAGAATCGAAGCTGTATACCTATAGAATCATTCCTGTGGACACAGTTCACATAGTTGGAATAAATTCTCCTTCTGATAAAACTATAATGATTGATATAAAGGGAACAACCAAGCCTGTCTGGAACATCTAATTAGGTGTTTAGAATAAAATTGTTCAGTTCCCTGTTCTCATTATGAAGCTGTACATTTCTTGTTTATATTATGGAAAAGAATAATGTCCTCGCTGTTTTACAAAATGAGTAATAAGGAAGCACCGAGCGGGATTAGTACCAACAGTATTTTTTTCATATTTAATTGAATGAAAATATCAAGAGACATAAAACTCCACGAGAAATTATAAAAGGGATCTCAGTGAAACATTGAATAAATTTTAAGCTCTTTTCCACGATTTTCTTTTACTTGGAATAAACCAGAGGTGTGAACTTTCGAAAGAAGCTAATGAGAGCTGTTTTGTACAAATTAAATTTCTCATTGTTGATTATGAGACATTGATGTTGAAGGTTTCATAGTCCAAATTGATTAAAATTTCCAGTTCAGTCCAAAAGTTTGAAGCCATGAAGCATAATTATTTTTGATGAAAAAATCAAAGAGAGGTGAAATGGTTGGTGATGTGGGTTGTGTATTGAACTATCAGTTTCATGAATACTTGTCTTTCTAAAATATATTTTGCCTGTTTCAGAATAACTTTGATATGTGTCATGTATTTCTACCAATTCTCGCCCACGAAAAGAAAGGAAAGCTTTATTGTTCATTGAAAACCGCAAGAGCTGGAGGTTGTGTGAGGAAAAGTTTCTTGATTCCAAAATCACCTGATTTGATTTTATGAATACAGTCACACAGCAGGTCTCATATCAAGATCTTTACAGTGAGTAGTTTCAGTTTTGCTGTCGTTTTTGTTAAATAATTTGAAGAGAGATCTACAAATCACCGTCTTTTTGCTGTTCTCTAAAGTCGACAGAATTATTGTCAATGAGATCGCTTAACTTGCATCAACTAGTGACTTTCAAAGTGAGTTTGGGTGTTTCAAAGTGAGAACAATATTCAGGAATACAAAAAAAAATTATCTATGGAGTATCTTTAGGATATTTGAAACATCAGTACTGTTTTTGACTCCTATGGTGAATAATAATAATTCAGATGGGGAAGCAAACCTTTATCTAATAAAGGTAGTGTGTTTGCCTTGAATATTCTGATTGATAAGCTCAACTTGATTGCTTCCTAGATCTCGTTTGAAATAAATCAAGAAACAATTTTTGTGACCAGGCAATATGGATCTTAATAAAGTATAAATGGAGCAATAATTGAACTCTGGTTCACGGATAGGAATTTGACGAATGTTACAATACGGATGTATGCAAAATAAGCAATACATCCACAATACCTTCTTGAAGAGTATCGAACCTTTGCTTGAAATTAATTTGCCTAAAATGGAATGAACAAGTGAACATGAAAAAATTTTTGCTTTCGAGAAAATAAATCATCTTATATTTATCTGACACGTTGAGACTACTTGTCAAGAATTTTAAATTGGAAATAATGAAGACATAATCTATGAATTCGAACTATTATAAGCAGGAAAAAAACATTCCAGCATGGATGAATCCATGATGGCTTTTAAAAGTAGAAGTTATTATAGGTTATATTTTGTATATTAACGTATATTACAGAAAGAAAAGCTATGAAAATGGCGCTAAGTTGTGCGACTGGGTACTGAAATAAAAAAATCGAAGCTTTTGAAGAATTATTCAGATAGCAACCAGCTGGTGATGTTTCATGTTCTTTTAGATGAACAAATGAACTTTTGCCTATAAAATTATCAGATGTAATAGAAAAGGAACTCCAAAAACTTAACTGACACAAGTAATATATAACAAGTTGAATTTGACCACTGACTTACTAAGGCAGGTTGGCTGTCCTTGTTAATTTTTCACTGTCTGAACCACTGTGCATGCTGTTTTTGGCAAGGGCATTGGCTTGGGATGTGGGGGTTGAGCAAACCGGCGATCGGATGCCTGCTTCCAGGTAGCCCTGCTGGATACGGGAATGACAGAATCACATGTGGTTATGTTATGCCCTAACTGAATGGCATCCTAACGATAATGTTATCCTAAGGTGTGTGTATCCGTGCCGAGAGGATGAATGACACTGAGCCTATCAGCTGTCACTACGGAACCTTAAAGATACCGGGCGCCCTCTCGTCGTAATCACTGTAATGCGGGACTCTGCCGTGATTGATCTTCTTTCCCTAGCTACTCGTGGGATTTTTATGGACAAAGTAAACTTAAAAATTCTTTCTGACGCTACAGAGGAGATGAATGTCGAGCTTACGACTTCAACTGACCTCTCTATAAATTTAGATCGGGAGCGCGTCTACAGAGGATATGGATGTTGAGCTTACGACTCCAACTGACCTCCCTGTAAATTTAGATCAGGGACGAGAGCTCTTCAACTCTTCAACTCCTGATCCAATAACTGAACCGCAAGAGCGGGGTACCTTTTATGAAACCGCCTTGCACCAAATTTTTGAGCGGCGTACGCAGAATATGTTTCAGGTGAAGGAACAAACCCCCCATGAGCAGGTTAGCAAACGTTTGCGCTCAAGTGATGATTCACAAAAACCAGAGGCGAAAAAGCCTTGCGCGGGTGAATCTAAGGCATCTTCAGGTGTAGCTGACGTGTAAAACCCTCATATGGGAAGGTTGTCGCGGGTATCAAGGGGGGAATTTTGCACCTCGACTATCCGACTACCTCATTAACGATGAAACAGCAGAGCATATACTTTTTAGAGTTCGACAGAGCCGTACTCTTACCATCTGACTCGAAAGACCACTCACCATACAAACTAATCGGCTTCGTTAAGAAGCTGGGTTTACTTGGCCGAGTGTGAATAGGTGTGAGCCACAATAAACCCTTGTGGATTGCGGTGGAGGGTCGAATATACCCATTCACTTTGGACCTACCCTAGTTGAGCAGGGGAATGTTTCCAGTAATCGATTTGAATGAGTATAAAGCATACGTGATGAAAAGAAAACAAAAAGGAAGAACTTCTTCACAAGTAACATGTAACACCGCTGTGGAAGTTAATCACAACACATGTAAATGAAGTGGAACAGACGAATCAACATCACAGACTTACGGCTTGAAGAGATTTTCTAACAATGATAGTACAAACAATTTTTGGTTCTCGATGACGTTGCATTTGTGAATACATTCATGTTGTTTTATGTGGAATGGAGAATAAGGTAAATAAAAGACAAACAAACCGTTCCAAGTGGAATGTGTTCATGGCATGAAGAGTATATTACCGAAAATATATGTGTTTAAACTTTTTGGTTTAATAAACCTGGTTAATACCGTTATAAATGTAACTTTTATTCATTTATAAACAAGTGACTAATCTGTCAAAATAAAGTATCAAATTTATATACAGTGTCTTCAACATCATCCACCCCGTGAAGAAGTCAAGTCTTCACCTCAGTAGGCAAAATACACAGTTTAGTGACTGGTCTAATGAAGCTGCCTTTTTTCGTATGGATTCGAATGTCGCGTACCACGCCGTCTCTGCCAGGTAACATTTCAGTTACGCGACCCAGTAAACAGTCATTTTCAAATGCATTTTCAAATATTATTACAACTATATCTCCTATATCAATAGTTTCACTTCTGGAATGCCACGTACTTCTCGGAGTCAGGGTTGAACGATATTCTGTGATCCACCTTTTCCAATATGAATTTGCCAAACTTTCAGCGAACCGCTACTGTTTTCTCCCTAGTATATCATTTTTGTTTTCACTCTAGATATCGACACTACCTGGTCTCAGCAACAGAAAATGATTGGGAGTGATCGCTTCTGGGTCGGGAGTGATCGCTTCTGAGATATGTGTTAAAGGTCTAGAATTCAGTGTATATTCATTTTCGACCATCAAGGTTTGAAAAACTTCTTCTCTGGGGCAAGCTGTTTTCAAAGTTACCCTGAGAGCCATTTTTATATTCCACCCAATGGCTAGCAGCTGAAGGTTGAATTTCCATACAGTTCCCCGGCAAGTAACTTCATCAGACAACTTCGTAAAATTCAACGTACTAGCAGTTTCTTTGAGCTCTCTTTCCGCTCCAACAAAATTTGTTTCATTGTCTGTGATAAATTGTTTAGGTTGTTCACGGCGAGAAATGAATCGTCTGATAGCAAGAATTGTGGAACTCGTGTCAAATGTTGCAGCAATCTCAATATTGATAGTATTCCGTATCTTTTCCTTTCGACGACCAATTGAAATGAATATTGGGCCAAAAAACTATATCCAAACGACTTGGCTGCAGTATCAAAAAACCAGTTCTTCGGATTTTCTGTTATTTTTTCATTCTCTAATTTTCGTACATAACCTTTGTTTATATAAATTTGAATCTTAGTATAATACTGTTTGGCGAATTCGTTGTCGGGACTCATTTTCCTTTCCATGCAAGCGAGACGTTTTATTGCATTCAATTTGCTGTCAGGTAATGTTGCCTCAGAATTTCTCCAAAGATGACCTATTTCGTATCTGTTATCAATTTTCCAAACTGTTTCATTCATGATTCCCAAAGCTCTGCGGTCTTCTACAGAGTAAATGGATCTATCTTTCACCTTTACACCAAAAGCTTACATTTTGAAACTATCCGTCACCATTCCGTGTTAGGAATCACACGTTGAAAGGCAAGACCTTGTTAAACCTTAGCTCGCACAAGTTTCTCAACTCTTGAGAGTTGCCATTCGTATGGGGGCAACAGCTGATTAACGGAAAAACAGATTATAAACAGATTTTTTTTTAAAGAGATTAGATGGAGTTCATCTTCGTCGGTATATCGACAGCAAAGATTGACATGAATGTGTTCTTTGTTATCAGGTAAATCATTGATAGGCCCGCTAATAGTCCAATCTAATTTTGATGTAGACATGATAGGCTGGTTTATTCTTGGTTGAATAATCTGACGTGGAATAATCAAACCACAATTATCTTGTCCGATAAGAAGTTCAGGTTTAGCATTTTCAACAGATTTAAAAACTTTCGGATTCAAATGTAGAAATTTTCGAGTCAAAGTTTCTACATCAATTTTGTGGCTTGGTAAATTCAAATTTCTTACTGTTCTGAGATTATTCATAATGAAGTTGATCCTTCATCAAACAGAGCAAATGTTTTTATTTCACTTGTTGGTCCACGAAGAATGACTGGTGCTACTCTCAACAGAATGGTCCTTTTTGTATCATGTGCTTCAGCGCAAAATTCATTTAGGGACGCTGGCTGATCTTGGGAAGTTGACGGTGAGTTGCATAAACTATCTCTTGGTACATGAAGGAGACTACTGTATCTTCCTTTACAATTATCGACCCTACATATTGTTTTCGAAAAGCATCTATTAGCCATGTGACCTGTTTGAATTTGTTACATCCTTTTATATCATGACTATCATCTTTGCAAAACACACAACCTGAAGTATATCTATGTTTGGTGTTATATTTTTTGAAACCATTACAGTTCCTTTTCTTGAAACACTTTTGTACATTTGAAATGGATTACTTGTTGATACCATGAAATTTACCTCCCCTTCATACCATTTTGGGAAATGGTATGAAGGAGAGAAAGTGAAGTTGGAATATCTTTCTGATATTTGAATTTCCCCCAGTTATATTTCTGAATCGGGGAAAGCTTATTAACCAAACTTATCACTAATTCCGGGTTGAACAAATAAAGTGAGGAATTGACATTTTTCATTGTAACCAACAAATTATTGACTGCGATCGAAAAATATGAGCAGGATTCAAATTTATTCTCTCGCACCTGTCCAATTTTCTTGACTTTTTCTTTCAGAGAAAGAACAATCCACTCAGATCTGCCAAAATTAATTTCAAGCATTTTAGGAATTTTAGAAACATTACTCGGAGAGATCATTAAGGCTTTTACAGTTTCCCTAGTTCTTCCTTTGAGTGCCTTATCAAGACGAGCAAGGTTTTCCACATCCGAGAAACAAAACTGCTCAGTATATCTTTTGAACTCAACAATGAAAATAGGCCAATCAGTGAGTTCACCTGAGAAATATGGAAGGTCCCTTGCTCTTTCTCTCATTAGTAGTGCATTCATTTTCTATAAATTTTCTAGCGATGTCTAGAACAATATCTCTGTGTCCACCTCCACTTCCACTAAAGGAGGAAGAATAACATGGATGTGCGCGAATATAATAACGCTGGTTGTTTTTTTCACTTAAATTACTACATTTTCTGGCATCCTCAACCCAATGATTCATGAAAACTGGATCTTGTTACAAATCCTGAGATGGTATAGTCTTGGTTGCACTTTATGTTGTACTTTTTTGGATTATTTTCTTGTGAATTTCTATTTATATAAGAACATTATTTCTTCTTTTTCCAATAGCTTTCAACCTTTCTTGCGTTTCTTGCTCATCTAATTCTTTCTGTTGTTGAATGAGTTTAAGTTCCAAGTCCAGCTTCGAAATATTTGATTTCCAGGAAAGAATTGACTCTTCTTTTTTTGATTTTATTTTATTAAAAGAACTGTTGCATGGAAACTGAATTATCTCTGACTGAGCATTTTTTTCTTGGCATAGTTCAACTTTTCTGCATTCCTGTTCAAACATATCGTTAACAGAAAATACTTTGTCTGCTTTTGCAATCTACTGGTTTCATCATTACCAATAGGAACTGTATTTTACTCTAGATCAGCATCATTCATTTCTGCAAATCTCATTGGTGGACCAGCTTTGTTGAATCTAGCACTTCTGCGAAGCTCAATTTCACAGTTTTTTGTAAATTCAGTGGCCGACTTTTCCATAGCATGTTCTTGAGTAACTCGAAGGACCAATGTTAAAACTTTTTGGTTTAATAAACCTGGTTAATACCGTTTTAAATGCAACTTTCATTCAACATGACTTACAGTAAATTCTCAATATTGAATTGTCTTAAACAAGTGACTAATCTGCCAAAATAAAATATCACACTTATATACAGTGTTTTCAATAATATGCTTCTATGGAATGTGATATTTTATATGGATATGGTAGAATGTATCAGAGACTAAATCCTGGCAGACCATGATGAATCTCTTCGTCTTGATTCATTTCACATGTGAAATAACGTTTTCTTGGATAAGCCGAAGCCTTCGATGTTCGTGAAAAAGACCCCGCTTATTGGTACAATTTTATGTATCAGTGAATTTATATCTTCAGCTTTGTATGGGCTTTTTGCTGAAATTTGGTGAAACACTTTCGGTCACTTCGTTCAAGTATTTTTTTATAATCAGCAACTTCAGGGTATGTTTGGAGACAGAGCTGTATACATGAGAACAATACTCCAAAGATCTAAGCTTTATAAAGCATCAAAAGCTGCTGAGGTTTGTACTGTTTTCTGTACTATAATATGAACGATAACTTATTCTCACTATTACACTTTCATTCAACGTGTCCTTTACGATGAAAGAACCATCTTTTACTTTGCAACGGTTAATTGACTTGGAAGTTGTCATTTGAATATTGAATTGCCGGTATCAATATAGTAATCTGACTCGACCAACGATTTGCAATTTCACGAATATGTTGAATTCGTCTTTCCGAATATAGAAGCCATCTACAGTCCTTTAAAAAATTAATTCAGGAAAAATATCACACCTTGGTCAAATTGTAAAAGTCTGATCCTTCGAAGAGGTACTTTTGATGATGTCTTCAAACTAGCTCTATTCGTGATGCTCTGTTCGTTATTGACTTTGTGGCTTCCGTATTTCTTATTATTTTCTAAATATCCTTCTATATAGCAGCCACGTTTTGATCAGCTTCGTCTCTTTTTTCCATCGATATCTTGTCCTTCGATTAATTTACTTTCGTTGCTAGCGAGAGTCATTTTCGGTAGTTTCGAACTCGAGGACAAATTTGATATATTCAGTGTGTGGTTTTGACTCATTTTGAATATTTGTAGATGGTATCGATGAAACTTTCAACAGTAATCCTGAATACTAAATCTATACTCATAAATGCGAAAGTCACTCACTTAATACTCATTCTTCTCTGTTTCTCCGAACTGCTGAGTCCTAGGAAGCCTAAATTGGATATATAGGTGCTTTTTAGGTCTTAAATTCGCAATAAGAAACGATTTTCCAATATTTTGGAAGCCTAAATTGGGTATATAGGTGCTTTTTAGGTCTTAAATTCGCAATAAGAAACGATTTTCCAATATTTAAACTGAGATCCCACACTGGGGGTAAAAGGAGCGCGTTTACATATGAAAATTATTTTTTCATCACTGTTTCTCGGAGGTTGGAATTTTGTATGTAGTTTCTTTTCATATTGGAGATGTGCAATAAGGAAGGATTTTCGAATATTTAAATTGGGGTATCTCCCTGGGAATGAAAGGGGGGCGTTTACACATGATAATCACCTTTTCATCATTGTTTCTCTATACCGCTATATTTTCGGAGGTTAAAATTTTGTACGTAGGTTCGTTTTATGTTTTAGATGAGCAATGAGAAAGGATTTTCAAATATTCCAGCTGGGGAGCCAGCCACAGGGAAAAATGATGCGTTCATAAAATAAAGTTATCTTTTTCATCACTGTTTCTACATGCCCTTGAATTTCGTTACCAGAAATTGCGTCAACATTTCAGAAAATGACATGGAATATGTTGGTTTGAATCAACAGTATAATGAGGGGCATTATTCCTTAACTGCCACCCTGTGTAATACTTTACCATTTATCAGCTTTCTGAAAGACCAATCAACACCCTCATTGAAGTGATTGCTTTGTCTAAGCGAACATTCATAAACCATCGGTTAAACAAAAGCGGTGAACTCCACTATGAACCCCATTATGGTAGTTATCAGATTATCCCGAGCGCCTAGTTGAATTTATGACGGTATATTTATGAGAAAACTTTAAATCTTCACTATACATTTTTTGCTTATACTCTACCTTCCCAAAGTTGGTTAGTCCGCCATGTTCCGCTTTTTTCCCAGGCATATCTGCTAGAGAGCAATCGGCCCTAGAAAAAAGAAAAAGTTTGTTTCAGTTTAGAATTTAAATAACTTTTGTTGCATACATTAGCAGTGGCCAAAAGCAGAAACCGAGAAAAATACATTTTTAAGTTGAAAATTTATTGCAGTGAAGTTGTTCGTGGATTTCGCCACGAAGTTTATGCTTGTCTGGGCGAATAGGTTGAGTTTTGTATATAATTCAGGATAGCATTTTGGTACTTTTATGTGAAGAGGGTTGTTCAGGCGAAAATCTAAAGAAATGAACTTCAAACGTTGAAGTCAGTCTCGGATAAACCTATATAGTAGGTTGAATGGACTGACGCCTATCAGGAAATAACTACTCCCCTGGCTAATGCCACGAAGGGCGTTGGATTAAATCCGATAGGCGTCAGTGCAGAAATCTTCACAGAAAATGTCTTTCATATGCAATTGGCAATATAACTGAAGGAGTCGACCTTCAATTTTTGAACGGGCACACTTGCAGACCGGTTTCGGGCTCATTAGCCACTCGTCAGTGGAAGATAGTGGCCATCATCGACCTAAAGTCAATGATATTCCATAATTGAAAATCGGAATTCTTTCAGAGTATTTCATTCCTCTTCCTAAGTTGGAGCGAATAACAAAATGTCACTTCATCTAGTGGAAGAGGTACTAACCAACTGCAAATCCGAAATTTGCCCGATTCCTCTGAATAAGGAAGAAAAACTTTCTTATTAGTCAGTGGGCTATATTTAAAGACTGGCAGTAAACAAATCTAAAGAAATAAACTTTAAACATCCAAGCCCGTCTCGGATTAACCTATACAGTAGGTTGAATGGCACCTACTGTGTAGTTTTATCCAAGACTGGCTTTATAGTTCATTTCTTTAGATTTGTTTACTGCCAATCTTCAAGCATAGCCCACTGACTGATAAGGAAACTTACTTTATTACATACAAACCAGTTGAGGATGAGAAATCAACCAAAAAAACCATTATTCAACCCGACCTGAAAATAGTTTATAGGAGAATTCATTACCTTGTTCATTCCTATTGAACAGTTTTGTAGAATGGTGTTTTAAATTTCCTAGGATGAGATAATAAATCTATCTGGCGAAATCCGTTTTTGTATCACCCATTAGTGGTTTGAACATAACATAATTTTTATCCGTTATCCAATCTGAAACTTTTCTCAACCCTTCCTTTCCATCTGGAAATCCTTCTGCTACCCTTTCACTTAGAGTTTCATAAAGCAGCAGTTAGACACTAACCACATTCGAAGCTTTGGAAGATAAGTACGGCTTTTGATTAATTATGATACTTGGACATGATCTGTGCTTGGAGATTTTGTTAGAGAGTTGGACCCAAGCCCAATTTTATCGGAAAGTTTGTTGTGCGACAACGGGATTAGTTCTTGGTCTGCGGAATTAGGAGTAATTTAGGGTCGCATTTCGCAGAGATTTTATAACATGATTGTTGATATTAACACCGAAATAATATGTTAAGTAGTAAGAAGAGTGATGAATATTAAGTAGATTAGTGACTTTTACTTTATCGATGTGTATGTTTCTATTCTTCGCTCTAACACAGTCATACTTGAACCGGACATTTTATGATCACTAGAATAACTTCAGCGAGTTTTTATAATTTCAAAATGAGAAGTATAGGTATGCATACTTCAATGTGGATATTCAATTACAAGATGAGTATTCATCCACACCGTGGTTATAAAATAAAATGAAATAAATAAAATATTTATTAATCCTTTCAACTATTGTTAACAATAGATAAGATAAGTCAAAAACAGTGTCATTAAGTTTTAATTGACAAACAAGACGAAACAAGCACAATGATGACTAACATAGACTATGTAAAATACACTTCGATATCATCTCAAAATTGAAAAGTATAATTCAAATTCCTCAACAGTAAAATCATTGGAGATTCTCTGAAACAAGCACTTTTCCTAATCGCCATAAATGGTGATTTGGCGCTCGTTTCACCACATTTCACAACGTTGGCGTCTTCCAGAGCTGACGAAAACAACTTACTGAAGTCTAATGAATTGCAAAATGAAAAGTTACTGCTTTATTGGAATTGGCCACGGTGGTAGTGCGCCCGACTCACGATCGGAAGGCCGTGGGTTCGATTCCCGCCTCGACCAGATATTTTTCTCGGGAGAATTTATGTGGTTGAAGCTGGGATGATTTTGCAACCGTGTTAGGAATCACACGTTAAAAGGTAAGACCTCGTTAGCTCTTAGCAAGCACAAGTTTCTCAACTTCTGAGAGTGGTCGTTTGTATGGGGGCCACAGCTGATTAACGGAAAAACAGATTTTTTTAACAGATTTTTATATAAACCACTGAATAGTCCAATCAGTCAGTAACTTGTCGCATACATACATTCTGCCTACAAATTGAATAGATGGAAAAATGTTATTTCTTCACTCGGCTTTCGTTTGAAGGTCAACTTTTCTGTAACCGATTCGTCTCAGCTTTTCGGAGAAACGGAAAGATATGACGATTGTTGTCGGATACGTGTGTTGAGTTTGTGATGATAATAAATTGTAGGTATATGTTGGTACTGTATTCATCAACTCCATGAGAGATATTTTTATGAATTGTTTACGGATACGCGTTTATCTCTAAACTTTTATAATAATAGTTACTTATTTCTCCAGATAACGAAGTAAATTACAAAGTGTCTCAGCCCCATGATACAAACATCTGACTTCACCTTCTTTGGCACTAGCGTGATGACTACATTTAAAAAGTGGAGATTTTCACCAGTAATTTTTTCGATTACCACTTGTATCAAGAGAATTTATTGATCATCACATCGAGGAAAAGAATCTGATTATGAACTTTTCTTCCTAAAGTGAATTTCATTATGGGTTTTGTTGTATTCAAAAGACGAGTTGATGTCATCAGGGTTATGGTCCTAGTTAGGTCATTCTGATAAGTCTCGATGTTCCTTCCCTGAAAATGTTCCATAGGAATGTCACTCAGAATCGGTGAGAAGGATGAGCCCATTGCCATTTCAAATTCTCGTAGATAACAATTCTGTTTGAACTGACAAAAGGTGTAATTGGTAAATAATCTCAGAAACTCCAAGATCGATTTCACGTTCAATTTTGTTTTACTGGTATGATTTTCTGATCGGTGTTTACAAATATTAGGGTTGTATCAACTGAAATATATACGCACTAACTCGCAACATCCAAACTCACCAGAAGATATTGGTTTCGAATTTGTGATCTCTTTTAAGTTTTTCAATGAAATTAGAAGTTTTGTTTATAACACTGTTAATATTTCCAGACGAAGGTTTCAAAATTTGGAACAAATATTTCGCCAGTTTTTGACACAGTTTGCCCGTTATTTATTGTCATCGATCAATAACAGAGTTGTTTTAGAATTGTTCTACCTTTGACTTTATTTCCAATAATGGAAATATAGAATATAGGATAGTGTGTTAGTATGATTCTGAACGGTAACATATTTGTTTCACAGCTACTGTGAGTTGCTGATAAGATTTGATAGTGTGGTAAATTCGAATAATAGTCAGAGAATTTGTATCCAACTGCCACTGGGGAGCTATACATAAAAACTGATTGAAAAAATTTCGATATTATTTAAACAACACATGAACTTTAACTGAACCGAATTCTCTAAAAACATCCAGTATGTGTCTTCATGTAGACTGTCGCGTGTGACATCTTGACATTCCATTCATTTGACTTGTGTCAAAAGAAATTAGAAATATCATATGAATTTCATCACTTCGGACTTCCATTTTCTAATAGATAGATAGATAGATAGATTTATTATTCCATTGTGCTATATTATGTAGATGGGACAGGTCATATTTCTCAGGTATAATATAAAATTAACTGAACTCAATTCTCTAAAAACATCCAGTATGTGTCTCCATGTAGACTGTCGCGTGTGACATCTTGACATTCCATTCATTTGACTTGTGTCAAAAGAAATTAGAAATATCATATGAATTTCATCAGTTCGGACTTCCATTTTCTAATAGATAGATAGATAGATAGATTCATTATTCCATTGTGCTACCTTATGTAGATGGGACAGGTCATATTTCTCAGGTATAATATAAATGTGTAATATTATAAGATGTCATTTGAATAAAAAAGTAACGTGACACACATTGTAAAACAAATATATACATACATATTTAAATATAAGTAAAAAATAGAAATAGATAAATAAACAACATGTTATGATATAAACGTCACAATGACAGTGATCTGACATTATCAACTTCAAGTATGAATCCATCTATTGTGTAGAAACCTTTTTCTGATAGAAACACTTTCAACTGTTTTTTAAAAACTTGAAGTGGCAGTGTCTTCATATCGCATGGCAATATAATCTTATTTTGACGAAAAATCTCTTAACATGACGTTCTGTAATCTAGATTGAAAATTCCGTGATGATGTTTATGGATGATGAGCATATGGTTATTCCTAGTATGATAATTATGGACTTCCGATCTCGACTCCAGTTGTCTTCTATTTTAATGGATATACGTCAATATTTTTAGAATGAACAAACAGGCAACAGTTAGTAGATATTTTATTTTGACAAAACATCTCTTTACATGACGTTCTGTAATCTAGATTGAAAATTAGCCTCAGTAATGCTTTCTGTTTTATGAAAATTCTGTCCACCTCAGTTGCTAAACCCCAGACAGCAATGTTGTTGTTGATAAATAAAAAAAAATAAACTGATATCAGTGCTTCAGTATCTAATTTATTCTTAAGGGGTTTAATGAGATAATAGGATAGATTCAATTTCTTGGATGTGACCTCTATATGTTCTTTCCAAGTGAAATCTGAGTCTATTATTATTCTTAAGAATCTTGTTGAGCTTGTTGATGTCAAGGATTCATTCCGGAAAATGAAATTGAAATCATGTAGGCTTCGAGATGAATTTGCAAATGCCATGCAGACAGTTTTTCTCAGGTTAACTATAAGTCTATTCCTGTAACACCAGTCATCAAATTCG